TTCTCATCGGTCGTTAATTCGTTCGACGGATATGGTTAGAGAGCGAGAGAGAAAGAGAGAGAGAGAGATAAAGAGAGAGAATTGCGTATGCGTTGCACATCCGATGTTTCCTGGAGCGTTGTCATTATATAGCGGTGATTATGCATATTCGGATAAGCAATCAACACCATTGAAGTACTTGTACTACGACAACACATGTACATAATACACACGTGGGGGTGGGGGTGGGTTAGAGAGAGGTTTGGTAAAAGGGCCAAAGGTCGCAAGCTAGTAATAATAATTCGAGTATCTTCTCCAATGTTTCCTCTTTCCTAGAGCTAGAGAATTATAGGGAATTATCATCATTTTATCACAAATAACATGTATAGAAACTTTGCGATGTCTATCATAGCGATTGACAAAAAAAAAGAAAATTTAAAAAGAAAAACAACATTCTATTTAATATTTTTTTTTCTTTTTTTTTGGGGGGGAAAAAAAATCATGAAAAAGAAAACAAATAATAAGTATAAAGATAAAGGAAAGAAAAACATGATGAAAATTGCATAAAAATGAGTAGGTATTCCTTGTTATAAAAAATGATCACAACAGTATTAAGATTATCCAGCTCATACTACTCCAGTACCTTTGGACTAATGAAGTACTGAATATCAAAAAGATGTAGGGATATACGATGCTTTACGTGGAACAGAAATAGTACAGGTAATATCTTTCGCATGCTACTTACGAACTGTTTTGAGAAGAAGAACCCACCACCAACACCTGCAGCAGCAGCGCCTGCAGCAGCTGCAGCAGCAGCAACAGCAACCTTCATCCCTTTCTCCTCTTCTTCATCTCATTTTCCTCCTTCTCTTTTACCCACCCATATCCTACAACCATCCACTTACCCACCTACCTCAAACCCCCATGTTCTAAAGCATGGCATCGCGAAAAGGGGTAGACGTGGGTTCTCTCGTTCGATGATGGAAGAGAGACGACAAGCCACTGGAGAAAGATGTGCTACGTGCACAACGTTGAATATAATTAAGCTTTCCGAGACGTCAAAGCGAAATACAGCTCGCTTCATTAAGAACAGAGTTATACTTGCAATACTACTATATTCCCCTGTCATAAACCCCTACCCCTTTCTTTCTCCCTCCTCTATCAAATGAAAGATAGAAAGAGGATAGATAGAAAGATGAAATATGATTTATATAGTAAAATATATTTTAACGAAAATAAAGGATCAATATAATAAAACTATGTAATAATTATGGATCTATTAAAAATAAACCACCCTTTATCGATGCACACATGTGTACACTGGGAATATTTGACTACCATCCTATATTATTAACCTGTTAACCAAAGAGATCCCTTTTTAATTGAGCACCTTTTTTTTATTTATTATTTTTTATATATTTATTTATTTATTTATTTATTATTTATTATTATGCTTAAAGTAAATGAAAAGACTATGAAATATATATAAAGTGCAAAGGTACAAACCTTTAGCTTTAAAGCTACGTTAAAGCTATATATTCGTATATAGAATAATACGTTTGACGTATTAATACGTCCCGCCCGGTTAACAAGTTAAAAAAATTTTAATTGAATTATTATTCTTATTATTAACTTTTTTTCTGATGTCTTTATATTACATTATTCCTTTATTAATAACAAAATAATAAAACTCTGTATAATTTATAAAGAACTATACTTTTGTTGCAACAGAAACCTTTTTATTTTCTCAAATTTCATGCTTCAAAAGATTAAAAACCAACCATGCCATCTCGCTCGATGATATTTCTAAACGATTTTGATTATGCATATTAAAATAAATATGACTACTTGTAATTATTCTTCTCTCTATTACTTTTCTAATTATTAATACACTCAACCGAACTTTAACACAATTATTCATGCCGTGCTGCATGAAGGTTGATTCGAGTTTATTAAGTCGAACTATATGGAAATTATGTTACATAAAGGGCTGTCGCAATTTTCCTATGTGCGTTTACAGCATATCAGGTTATAAGATGATTTAGTGTATATATATGTATAAATTATTCATTAAACAAAATTACAAGTATCTGCATTACTTGCGTACTATATAAGGATAGGAAAATTTAATGTTATATTAAATAAACATTATACAAAAAGTTATCTAATGATATATAATTTCTTATACATTAAATATAATAATTTAAATAATATGATAACGTGTGTGTATCAAATGAAACTGTGCATAGATACAAAAACAATGAGAAAATATTATTCAAAGTTAATACATAATACACGAACGGATGTTAATTATGAGAGATGGTAAAGTGATCCTACAAGACTAATTCGTAAGATGATAAGCAAGCAAGAAAAGTGCCATTTCCAGCACGTGAGAACAATTCGTGGCAAACAAGCCACCGAGTTTCGTAGCTGCTCATTAACACGTCAGCGTTGAAGAAATAATGCTTCGAAACTGACGTAACGATCATCATTAGGCTTCTCCAATTTCTACGGACTTCGGGATTGATGATGAGTCATTTTCTAAATCTAACATATGTAGAAACTTTCCCAAGAATTCTGCGTCTATTCGCAAATTTCCCTAATTTCATTATTTTATTCTCACATTTCTATATCTAATTAGATCACTTACATATATATATGTAAAAGCATATATATATATATATTTTTGTTTATGAATGAATATCTTTTAAACGATTAATTTAATCGCCAAAACATAAGACACCATTTTTATAGAACAGTTAATTTTCTACAAACATTTGTATTGTACACTTTTTAATAGTCATTTATTGTCGAGTTATAAAATTCATAGACAAAAATGAAATTTGTCTTAAAATAATCAAACTTAAATCTTCAATATCATTCAAATGGTGACGTTTACGGAAAAAATATAAGATACCTTTTTTGTAGAGCATTAAATTTCCTACAAAATTCTTCCACAACATTTTTCTCTACAATCAATTAATGACGAACTATGAATTTTATTCTATTGGACTGAGAAAAAAATAAAAAAACTGCAATGCGGAGGATCTTCCTATTAAAATTAAGAGCTCACATTTGATGTGAATTTTTTTAAGGTGTCTAGCAACCCATTTTTCCGTGGCACTTGTAAAAAAAAAAAATTGATTTTTTCGACCCACCCTATATATATATATATTTCCTCGAAAATCGATGGTAAATGTTACAGAATGAATAAAGCAAACCCTTGAAACGTTGCTTTATTGCTATTAAAAGAAGATAATGGTAGGAAGAACGATTAAACCTTCTGAAAAATAAAATAGCCAAGGGAAACGAAGGAAACGAGCTACTTATCGGTTACTTCAATACATCATGGCTGTTAAACGAAAATAGAAGGTTTCAAGCGTGAGTTTCAAGATCGATTAGGTACTATCGCAAAATAAAAAAGAAGGTAAAAGTGTCAATCAACATTATACTAAACATATAAATACGTTATCGCCCATAAATCACGCTTAAATATCCCATTATTTCTATTAACGTTATTATTAACTATTTAAATTATGCAAAAGAAAATAATATGAAAAATATACAGTAAAACGTAGCAACAATTTTCTATTGATATTAATTAACTTAATTCTTTTTTTTTTTTTGTTTTTTTTTGATTACTCCAAGAAACCCTTATGATTTATGGTCCGATTGTTTCTAATAAAATTAATTGAAACTCTACTTACAAAAAATATATAGTACTATTTACAAAAATATACAGTAAAACGTAGCAACAATTTTCTATTGATATTAATTAACTTA